ACAGAGTTTCTCTGTATAGCTCTGGCTGTCCTGGAACTCACCTCTGTAGACCAGGCTGGCCTCAAACTCAGAAATCCTCCTGCCTCTGCCTCCCAAGTACTGGGATTAAAGGCGTGCGCCACCACTGCCTGGCCACCTTTTTTTTTTTTTTTTTTTTAAATCAATTATCAGTTAAGTAGAAAGAGTAAGGCTTTCCCCACAGAGCTTCTGAAGGAGCTGCACGTGGCTGGACACCTCAGACTGTGCTTGTGGTTGTCTTTTACTCATTAGACTTATCTCTCCTGTTGGAATGAAATGATTAACAAACTCTCAAAGATCTTGGCTAGAAAGATGGCTCAACAGGCGGAGGCATCTGCTGTCAAGCCGATGACCTGACTCTGATCCCTGGGACCTACCTGCTAAAAGTAGAGAACTGACTCTTGTAAATTGCCCTATGGTGGCTCACGCCTTTTAATTCTAGCATTCAGGAAGCAGAGGCGGGTGTGTGTGTGTGTGTGTGTGTGTGTGTGTGTGTGTGTGTGTGTGTCTCAGACAGCCTGGTCTACAAACTGAGTTCCACAATAGTCAGAAAGGTTATATAGAAAAACCCTATCTCAAAAAAACAAAACAAACAAAAATTAAGTCTGAAAGACTATTCTCTTTTACTTTGATTATTAGTATACAACACAGACCTATAGCATTCCTGAGTGTGGCATTTTAGATAAATATGATCTAAATTCTGAATTCCTACATATTAAGAGAAAGTGGGCAACCAAAAGCCAGGAAGATTCATCAACTCTAAAAGTAATCTTGAATAAACTGCCTGAAGAAATCAGATGCTAAAGATCTCAGGAAAACTTTGATTTTCACTAGCATGTTTATAATTCAAGTGTGGAAGAGGTCATATGAAATAATTTACAGGACAAAGGCATCTGTTCTAAGCTTAAAAGTTCTAGGCCAGTGACTATACCATAATACCTGTCTCCAAAACAAAAGATCAGGTATAGTGGCCACACACCCTTAATCCTAGCACTCAGGAGGCAGAGGCAAACAGATGTCTGAGTTCGAGGTCACCCTGGTCTGCATAAGTACCAACCTACCAAATGCTATTTAGTAAGGCCTTGTCACAATAAATTAAAAGAAAAAGAGGAGAAGTAAAAACAAAGTGTGTGTGTGGGGGGGGGAATTACCACTGCCCCTTTCTCTTTTATAAAAAACGTTTTAGAAAGACAAGAAAAATCCTTGCCAGGCAGTGGTGGCACAGGACTTTAATCTCAACACTTAGGAGGCAGAGGCAGGCAAAGCTCTGAGTTCAAGGCCAGTCTGGTCTATAGATCTAGTTCCAGAACAGTTAAGGCTACACAAAGAAACTCTTGACTCAAAACACACACAAAAAAAAACAACAAACAAAAAACATTTTTTTACAAATATATTTTACATGTGTGGATGCTTTGTCTGAATATACATGCATGCCTGGTACTCAGTGGCCAGAAGGACACATCAGATCCCCTCAGAGTGGAGTTATAGATGGTTGTCAGGCAGGTCCTCTGGAAGAGCAGCCAGCCAGCACTCTCAATAGCTGAGCCATCTCTGCAACCCCACTGTCCCCCTTTAAAGAGTAGTGCATGAATGGGTGATACAGTGTGGTGGCAGGATTATATGTGCTTACTTCTACTCTTCATCTTCTAACAACAAATCAACATCACTAATATGGCAAGTCATTAAAAAGGATACAGACAATAGATGACAGTATTCTTTGATAAAACTTATGAAATTCCAGGGCCATAGGGCTACATAGGGAGAGCCTGACTCAAAGAAAAAAAGGGGGAGTGAGACCATACTGGGAAGAACTACTGAACTCTAGTTTTGTACCTTGACAGGAACAGAGAGAGCATGATGTAGAGGGGTGGCTCAGTGGTTAACAGCACTAGCTGCTCTTCCAGAAGACCTGGGTCCAATTCCCAGCAACCCACATGACAGCTCCTGGCTGTGACTCCAGTTCCAGGGGATCCAACAACCTCACCCAAACATACATGCATGCAAAGAGCAATGAACATAAAATAAAAATAAATGTCATTTTAAAAAGGAAAAAAATAAAACAAAACTTTAATTTTTTTTATTTTTTATTTTTTTTTACTGGAGCTGGAGAGGTAGCTCAGAGGTGGTTAGTAGCACTTGTTGCTCTTACAGAGGAGTTCACAACCATCTCTAATTTCAGGGATCCAATGCATTCTTCTGACCTCAATCATCAATAGGCACATATATGGTACATGTGCACACATGCAGCAAAACACTCGCACACATAAAATAAATGCATCTTTAAAACTTATTTTAAATTATTGATTTTACAAACAAAAATTAAAACTATGATGCAAGCCTTTAATTCTATCGCCCAGGGAGCAGAGGTAGGTAGAGCTCTGTTCTAGGCAAGGTTTGATTCCCAGCACCCACACAGTGACTCACAAACTATAATACCAGCTCCAAGGAATCTGATGTTCCCTTCTGGACTCTGTAGGTACCAAGCATGCTCATGTGCACAGACATACATGTAGGGAAAACACTCATCACATAAAATTTTAAAAGAAAGGAGGAAGAGGAGACAGGGATAGAGGGAGGAAGGGGAAAAGAAGGAGAAAAAGAGAGAGAGAAAGAGAGAGAGAGAAAGAGAAAGAGAAGAAAATACCAGATTTTTTTAGAAAATTCATCAATGGATAAAAGAATTGAGAATCAGACTAACAAGAGACAGCCCGACAGAAACTCTCATTCGTATGTATGTGTGTACGTACGTATGTATATGAATGAGGCAAAGTTCTAAGTAAAAATTACTTTTGCCGGGCAGTGGTGGTGCATGCCTTTAAGGCCAGCACTTGGGAGGCAGAGGCAGGTGGACCTATGAGTTCGAGGCCAGCCTGGTCTATAGAATGAGTTCCAGGACAGCCCAGACTATACAGAGAAACCCTGTCTCGAAAAACCAAAAAAAGAAAAAAAAATTACTTTTGACACCAAAAATATTCCTAGAGATTGGGTGGGGAGTGTAACACAGTAATAGTTGGCTTGGTTAGCTTGGTTAGCATGTATGAGGGCCTAGGTTCAAATCCTAGACACACACACCCCTAAACAATCAAAGAAGTATAAAGATATAATAAAGAGATTCTTAACCAGGTGAGTCAACACATGCCCATAATCAAGAGGCTGAGATGGAAGGAAAATTGGAAATTTGAGGCCAGGCTAGTTTACATAGCAAGCAAGACTCTGCCTCAAAGATACAATTTAAAAAATAAGACTCTAAAAGGCCTGCTGGTATATGCTTTTGATACTCTGGTAGCAGAGACAGGTAACTTTTTGAGTTTGAGGCCAGCCTGGTATACATAATGAGTTTCCAGGCTATAATGAGTCCCTGTCTCTCCCCCCGTTCCCCCAAAGTCAAAGGCTAAGGTAGTCTTAGTGGTATAGTGTTCACCTAAAACAGCCAAACAGTAAAAGGCATGGCTGGGGAGAATGGTCACTGGGTAAAATCCTTGCCTTGCAACTATGAAGACTTGAGTTTGATTCCTAGAACCCACATAAAGACCAGATATTCTAATGCTAGTCTATAATCTCAGCACTGCTGCAGCACTGATGGGAGGCAGAAGACAGGAGCCGCTCAGAAGCTTGGTGGATCAGTTAGTCTGGTGTATAATGTGGAAAACAAGAAAAGACCTTACTTCAGACAAGGTGAAAAGTAAGGACCCAACCCATCGTCCTCTCACCTCCATACCCACACCACAGAACATGAACACCCATACTCACACATATACACAGACATGTACACATTATTGAAAATAAATAACAACTTTAAATATCAATCAAGTTTGTTGTCATGTCATTAGTGCAGTACTAGGACACAGGGAGGTCAGCGAGGACCCAGAGCTCCTCCCTAAAGCCCCAGGCTGCTTACTGCCACCACTTAGTGCTAGCACTAGCTCCCGCACACACCCTTCCTGTGGGCTTCCCCTTGGACTAAGCTCCATACTTCCTATTCAACAGTCTGCTGATATTTGCTGGGTTATCACCTACATGAACTCAGCTACAAAAGTAACACATCCTGAATGCTGGTGCATACTTGTAAATTGTGCCTGAATTTGGAAAGGTAAGGCAACAGAATCATGAGTTCAAGGCTAACCTAGACTATACAGTGACCCTGTCTCACTACCACTACCAGCATCAAAAAGCAATTTTAAACAAACATCTTCAAGAACTCTTTCTCAAAGCAAGGTGGTCACTACAAACAAGAAAACAGCATATAAGTAAAGAAATACAAAGTCAAGACATACAGAAAACAGGATGGGATCTTAAAGGAGCCAAGATTCAAGGATTGTGGCAAAGAAGGTCTCTTAACAACAGATATGTCTAGAGGAACAGGGAATTAAAGGTTCCTAAGGAAGCCAGGCATAGTAGTGCACACCTGTAATCTCAGGAGATGGTGACAGGAGGGCCAGTCCAAGGCCAGTCTTGGTTATATGAGACCCTGTCTCAAAAAACAAAAAAAAACTAAACAAAAACAAAACAACAACAACAAAAAACAACCACTAGAGAACACAATAGTAGAGTCAATGAAAATAAACCAAAAGGGCAAGATAGAAAAAAAGTGAGTTAGGAGTGAAAGAAATTAAATTCTTAACTAGCTTAATAGTTACTAGAACTGCTGTATTAAACGCAGTAATAATACACTTAATGTTTAGGATGTGGAGATCAGAAGCTGAGAGTTCAGAGTGTTCACAACAGAAAGTGCTCTCCTCTCTGCCCTCACCAAAAATAAAATACATATAAAACAAAATACACTTCACAACACAGTTCCCATTCTGGGAGAATTGTTATAAATACTGTTCCTGTTCTGGGAAGAAAGGATGCTGTAGACTAAACCCTGGTTCTCATATATACTGAGCATGCACTCTAGCCCTGGGTTAAAACCACAGCACCTACAGACATAGTTTACAGCAATTAAGATATAGCATAGAGAGTGAAAGGGGGGAAGGAGTCACCTTTTTAAGCACCTTCATGGCAAATATCTTCCCGGTATTTGCTCCTGTTACTTTTCGTACTTGAAAAACCTGGACAAAGAAATGAGTGTTTGCATGTTACCAAAAGCCAAACCATGTAGGTCATCTTCCACAATTCCCATGTATAAGACACATGTGATACTGCTGTTTATACTATAAAAGTGCATCACAAAGGACCATGCACAAACATGATCTGTAAGTAGAGGCCACATTGTAGGATTACGGAAGTCTGTGAAATGTGGGCCTGTCTGTGGTTTGCTGCCAACTGATGGCAGTGTTTGGAAATACCCAACTAATCAGCACTCAAAATCCTAGTTCACTTAGCACAAAAACCATCAGTGCTCCCGCCTTGAAAAACAAATTTCTAGTTTTCTGTATAAATTGATTCCAGGGACAAACTGCTATTATTTCATATAACAGTGACAATAATTGACAGACTTTTTTACTCACTCTATTGAGATGGCTTCATATCCAACACTTATAACAACATATGTAAGATTCAAACTGTTATATATTCAGGATGATTAGAACATATTCCAATGTTCCCTTAACCTTAAGAATAAACTACAAGTGTCACACTTCTAAATACTGATATGAGATTAGTATAGACAGTGCTGTCCTGGAACTCACTCTGTAGCCCAGGCTAGCCTCGAACTCTCGAACTCAGAAATCTGCCTGCCTCTGCCTCCCAAGTGCTGGGAATAAAGGTGTGCGCCACCACCGCCCAGCAGTATAGACAGTTCTTAATCTAATCAAGTTGTAAAACTGTCTTAGAAGTGAATATTTGTGGTATGACTTATCCTGAGCAGAACACATAAAATAAGATCTTAAATTATAAAGCCTAGGGCAAAACTATGAAACCCCTTTCTTACAATCTTTCAGCTTTCCTAGCTTATTTCTTAGATACTCCAAGTTAAAGAAAACACATTCAGATTCAAGCCTCAGTAACATATAACTTAACATACATGAGGTGAGGTGTGGCGTACACATGTTTAAAAAGGAATCCTGTATAAGGTTCCATTGGGCCAAAGAAAAGAAACAATCCTCTAATAGCAGAGCTGACCTGGAGCACTACTTGTTTACTTATTCAATAAATACTGAGGGTTTCCATTATGCCTATGTGTAGTGATAGGGAAGGAAGGGGAACTGAACTTCAACCCCTCAAATCACATGAGTCATGGTCAGATCCTACAATGATGAATGGAACCAGTGTATAAAAAACAGCCACCACAGTCAAAGATAACTATTTCAAAACATGTCCTACCTTTCCATAGCCCCCTTTACCAAGTACCCGAAGTAGCTCAAAACATTCTGGTCTGATTTTTTCTGGCCCTCTGTTCACACTAGTTTCTGAGATTTCAAATTTCTCACAATGTTCCATGCCACTGGGAAGAAAAGCAAAACCAAAAGTGAACTTGCAAAATGTTCAATTACATCAAGCACACTGTTAGAAAGGAAAGAGAAATGGATGCACTCAGGTAAAAGAAGAATAAGTACATGACAGTAAGTGTGGTATCTGTGCTCTATGTTACCTGATGACTGAGACGATGACACGGCTGGGTCAAGATCAGGGCAGACTGGGACTGTTTACCTGCTTGCTCACAGAACTTGCATTATTACTTATTTTCTTAAATATCAAGCACCAGGGCTGGAGAGATGGCTCAGCTGTTAAGAGCACTGACTACTCTTCTCAAGGTCCTGAGTTTAATTCCCAGCAACCACATGTTGGCTCACAACCATCTGTGATGGGATCTGATGCCTTCATCTGGTGTGTCTGAAGACAGTGACAATGTTCTCATATACATTAAATTAACAAAGAATTCTTTTAAAAAAATATACCATGCACCCCCAAACTAAGAAAATTAGAACATGTTTACTAAGCTGACAGAGTAAACAAGCCTCCTACTTACTCAAATTTTGTTCATTCAAAATGTCCACGAGATTAGTTATTACCCAACACTCACCAATGTTAGCAGAAGATCTAGGATCTTTCAGAAATGACTCAGTTAGTTGTTAAACAGCCCAGGCCTATCTCAAACTGATTAGGTAAGGCAGGCTGCCCTCAAAGTCATCCTCCTGCCTGAGCCTCCTGAGTACAAGGATTACAGGAACTTACCACCACACCCAGGTTTGTTTTGTTTAAAATTTCTTGATAATAAAATATATCTGCATTTTTTCTAATGTCTGACTTTTCCAAGTTACTAGCTTAAAGACTCCAAAAAGGAATGGAGTGTGTCTGTCATATACATGCTCCTTAGGTAAGTAGCTAGTCTTCTCCATCTCTTGTCACGCTCTCTACTGGAGGGTGGAGTACGGAGCAGATTAATGACATACTCACCTAACAGAACTCACTCAATATGACTTCAAATTGCATAAATCTCTCTGTCTAAATGATGTATTCAAGTATTTTGGGAACACTAGCAATAATTTTCCATAAGAAAAAGTTACAAACACAGTTTTCTCTATTAAATGAGTAAACCTTCCTAATAACTTAAACTCATTCATATTTCATCTCTTTCTATATATAGAATATTAAAATTCTCATGTTCTATTCAGCAACTTGGTAAGTGATCTTATAAACATGAGGGCGTTTAAAAACAGGTTACTAAAGCCCCTTGAGGCTCTGGATAGGCACAACCTACTGGAAAGAAACAGCACAGTGGAAGTCTTTCCATGTACACTTACAGTTCATATGGTCCAACTCCCCCATGGTCCATGCTTTCATTTAACTGACCCTGAAAAATATTTTAAGTTTTAGAAATAAATAACACCAGAAACTCAAATTTTAAGAAGTTCAATGCTTCATCTTATAATTCAGAGAGAACGAATGAAGTAAGCCAGTTTAAAGTTTCTATTTCACTACCGAGCAAACATGGTGAACAAAATAAAGTACACAAACAACACTGGAGACTGCACTTTCAAGGTTTTTCATTTTATACAACCTAATCATTCATAACCTAAAACAACAAGAGTTTTCCTTCAGTAATTATACTTATCATCTATTAAATACTATTTTTTGATGAAACTAAAGGTGTTACATTATGAGATACCAGATCAAATGATATATTTCTGTTAGGTAGACTAACATGTCATGAGCATGCCTAAGACAACTACAACTAGCCCAAGATATACAATATACAATGTGGCAAATTGAGGCAAAAATATTTAACGAACCAATATAATGATTAAGCATCATACTGACCAAACATTTATTCTAACATAGAATAAATGAAAATTGAAATTAACCTATTATGCACTGGCAATGAACAATCTCAAAATTAAATCAAGAAAATGCTATTTACCACAGAATCAGTAAAAATAGCTCAGAAAGTCTGGTGTGAGGGCCTTTAATACCAACACTTGGGTAGCAGAGGCAGGCAGATTTCTTTGAATTTGAAACCAGCCTGATTTACATAGTGAGACCACGTCTAAAAAAACAAAACTTCTCCATAGCTTATGGTGGGCTGGGGGGATAACGGGGTTAAGAGGAGGTCCAATGTCAGTTCCCAGGACCCACAACAAGCGGCTCCCAAGAGCTTGTAACTGCAACACGGGAAGGATTTGGGGAAAATTTGAAACCTTTTTCTGTCTTTCTCAGGAACTTCCAGTCCTGTGTACAGATACAAGCACACACACATAATCTAAAATAAAATTTATCTTTTTTAAAGTATAGCTTAGTTGTTGGGCATGGTACTGAATGCCTGTAACCCTAGCACTTTAAAGATCAAGACAGGAGAAATGCTGAAGGTTTGAGGCTAGCTTAGTCTAAACAGTGAGTTCCAGGCCAATCAGGACAAAACAGTCAGATTCTACCAATTAAATAAATAAATAAATAAATAAATACAATTTTTTTAAATAAAAAAAAAATTGTACTAAAAGCCCCTTGAGGCTCTGGAAAAAAAAATCCGGTAGAATAGTCCTGTAGTCAATTCTAACTACTTGATTAAGAGACTGAGATCACAAAGAGCTGCATAGTATGTTCACAGTCACCCTGAACTTGACAAGAACTCCTATCAAAAACAAAAGGGCTTGATAGATATCTCAGTGTCAGAGCACCGGACTGGTATGTGCAAAGTCCTGGGTTTGATCCTCAGCAGGTCTAGCCACTCTTAAAAAAAAAAAAAAAATAGAAGAAGAATAAAAAGATAATTTTGAAAAACAAGTGGGGATCTTACTTGGTATTTCTCCAAAGAAGACATAAGAGGAAAACTAGCCACATAGAAAACATTCAACGTTAGTACTAGAAGGGAGACGCACAGGGACAGAGTGAGGGACGTCTTTCGGTTCACTAGATCTGCAGAGAGGGCAAGGGAGGCGCCGGAGAGAAGGAGAAGAGAGAAAAGAAGGACAGGGAGAGGTACAGGCAGAAAAAAAGAACTATCATACTCTGCTAATATGAATGTAAAATGTACAAGTACTTCAGAAAATAGTTTAGAGATCTCTTAAAAAGTTCAGCACAAAAAAAAAAAAAAAAAAAAAAAAAGCCGGGCAGTGGTGGCACACGCCTTTAATCCCAGCACTTGGGAGGCAGAGGCAGGTGGATTTCTGAGTTCGAGGCCAGCCTGGTCTACAGAGTGAGTTTCAGGACAGCCAGGGCTACATAGAGAAACCCTGTCTTGAAAAACCAAAAAAAAAAAAGGTTCAGCACAGCCTGACTGGACAGCTGGCTCAGCAGTTAAGAGCACTGGCTGCTCTTCCAGAGGACCCAGGTTAAATTTTTAGTATCTGTATACTGGCTCACAAGTGTCCTTAACTCTGGTTCAGGAAATCTGACATCTTCTGGCTTCTGAGAGCAACATATACATGCAAGTGGCACACAGACATATATGCAAACAAAACATACCTACACACAAAATATTTTTTAAAAAGTTAAGCATAGTCTATGCAGGACTGCACTCCTTAAACACCAGCACTCTGGAGGCACAGGCAGGAGAATATCTGTGAGTTCAAGCCCAGCCTGATCTACACAGGGAGACTCTATCTCAAACAAACAAACAAACAAACAAACAGGTCAAACATAACCAGGCAGGGCTGAAGAGATGGCTAAGTGACTAAAAGCACTGGGCTGCTCTTCCAAAGGACTAGGGTTCAAGTCCCAGCACCCATGTGGTGGGTTTATAAACATCAATAATTCCAGTCCCAGGGGATACAAGGCCTTTTTCTGGTCTCCAAGAGCCTATATACACAAGATGTGCAGGCAAAACACAAATATATATAAAAATAAATATTAAAAAAAAGTTGGGAATAGTGGAGAATGCCTTTAATCCCAAAACTTGGAAGGCAGAGTCAGGAAGATCTCTGTAAGTTTCATGTTAAACTGTTCTACACAGAGTTCCAGGCCAGCCTAATGTGAGCTGATGTATCCCAAAACGAAAAAACCCACTAATGAACCAGCTTCTTTAGTTTCTGTCCTCCATACAATCACAGCTATATTTTAAAGACAAAAGACTAACTTCTAACAGACATGATAAAGCTGGTGTTACATAATTGTTTATTTCTTTTATGTTGGCTTTACTTAATTTTAAATTAAAGACCACAGAGTAAGTTAACAGGGAACCTCCTTTGAAGCCACCTCAGCAGACATGCCCTCAGGCTGTGGTTCATTTCCTGAGCCTGTCCCACCACCTGCACCTGCACTACAAATTTCCTACCGTTACTTTACAAGTAGGCACAGTTCTTCTCTGCCATCCACTACACCTTTACAAAAGCTCTGACTTTAAGTTTCACCTGTGTGAAGTAGAGCCCTGCTACAGCAAAGTATAAGATAGGCTGTGTCAAACTAGCCGACACACCATAGTATTTGCAAAGTTTTACATTATAACCCCAAAGTCTTTCTTAAAAATTCTATGTAGCCAGGAGGTGGTGAACACTTTAATCCCAGCACTTGGGTGGGAGGCAGAAACAGGTAGACCTCTGAGTTCGAGACTAGCCTGGTCTACAGAGTGAGTTCCAGAACAGCCAGGGCTACACAGAGAAACCCTGTCTCAAAAAACCAAAACCAAACCAAACAAACAAACTATGTAAACTATAATTAATAAACATGAAATCTTAATGAAGATTGAGCACTTCATAAAAATTGAAGTGAGTTGTTCCCCAATAGGAAAAATTATCCTTAATCGAGACATGAACTAAAGCAAATATCCAAGCCGTATCATGGCACATGTAACTGCTCCTCTTGGGATGCTAGGACGATAGGTTTCAAGTTTGACACCAAGCTGGACTACAGAACAAGACCATATTTCAAAACACAAAGCAAAGGTGAGGGTGCACAGTATGGGCTTAGTAGGACACACTTGTATTCCTAGTATTTGGGAGGTGAAGGAAGGACAGTCTAAGCTACATGCTACACTATCTCAAAAATAATAAATAGGCTAAGTGTGGTGGTTCACACTTTGGGAGACAAAAGCACATGGATTTCTGTGAGTTCCAGGCTAGCCAGTGCTACATAATGAGATCCAGTCTTTAAAAAAAAAAAAGTTCTTTTTAAATCAAAATGATAAAGAGTGAGTGTGTGTAGTGTATGTGTGTTTAAGTGTGTGCAGTGTGTGTGCGCCATCTCAAGTTGATGACATGGTATGCATGTGGAAGTCAGGGGACAACTTGTGAAAGTTAGTTCTCTCTTTCCATCATGTGGGTTCCAGGAATCAAACTTAGGTCTTCAAGCTCCTTTACCCACTGAGCCATCTGGCAGGGCCTTAAATAATAAACTCTTTTTTTTCTTTGAGACAGGGTCATTCTATGTAGTCCTGGCTATAACTTATTGTTCAGACCAAGCTGGCCTTAAACTCAGAGATCCACCTGACTACTGGAATTAAATGCATGTCCTTCCACACCTGGCAATATGCCCTAACTTTCTGTCAAACAAATATCTGCTATCTCATTCTAAAACTTGTGTAATATGTCTCTCCAATTATTTCAGATTTTTACCTGACAGAAAAAAACAAAATTCTCCAGAGGAAAACTTACCCTTAGTTTCAACTTATTACCACAGAAATATAGACAAACACAAGAAAAACCCCTCTCATTATCAAAGTCCTCTTACTCATTATTGCGACTACCCTTACTTTATTCCTCTAAGGTTTTTATTCTGTTTTTTAAACTCAGATAATAGACACTCAGCTTCACCTATAAATTATCAATTTAGTTTCATCATTTACTATCTAAAGAATTAACTACATAAATGCCTATACTGACTAATATAGATTCCAGTACAAAATACTCACTCACAAAGGTGTTGTCTGTGTGATCAATGACTAAAAACAAATGAACAAAATATGATAGTTCTAAAAGCGTAGTAGTAGCTCTGGATACGTGCACTTGTTATGGAGTGGCTATGCACAGCTGATGGTAAAATGACTTGGACTCAGAAATGGCTGGTTCTGACAAGGTACAGTTCATGAACCAGCAGAATGTCCAATAAGCCAGGGTCTTTTGAGAAATCTTTACATTTCATTTAACTCTCATTTACAAGGAAGAAGGGAGAGTTTGAGGCTAGCCTGGTCTACAGAGTTCCAGGACAGCCAAGGCTACACAGAGAAAACCTGTCTCGAAAAAAAAAAAAAAAAAAAGAAGGAAAATATCAACTTACTCTAGATCTCAAAGCTAATGAGTATGTCCCAAGAGATATGTATTCCCTATTTTTCTTTTTACTGAATAAAATTTGACATATAAATAGGGACACTGTGAATGAGTCTAATAAATGCAATCAGGAATCTAAGTGCTGTAAGGTGGCTCTTTGAGTAAAGGACCTTGTCACCAATTCTGATGTCCTGAGTTCACTCTTCTGGTGGAAAGAGAGAACCAACAACTGGAAGTTGTCACCTTACCCCCAATGCTATACTATGACATTATGCAAGCACATGTGCACACACACACACTCATACACATGCACACATGCACATATACATGAACACAAATAAATAAATAAATAAATAAATAAATAAATCCAGTAATAATTTGAAAAAGAATCTATGCAGAAGAAAACAAAATGGCTCAGCTGGTAAAAGCCCTTGCTGCCACATCTGAGGACCTAATTTTATCCTTAGATTCCTCATGACTCTCCCAAGTTTTCCTCTGACCCTTACACATGTGCACAGCTTCCCCATCAAAAGAAATATGAAAAAAAAATCATGTGCAAGCTGGATTTGGGGATATAAAACTATATATCACTCAGGAGACAGAGGCAGGAGGATCAAGGAGAACCACAGGGTGAAGGCTAGGATAATCAACACAGTAGGCCCATCTCAATCAAATCTGTCAAACTCAAGTCTTCAGGCTCAGAGCTTCCAGTAGCCAAGTTTTTTTTGTCCAGTGGGCTATCTCTCTGGTTCAAGACATTTAAATCTATACAATGTAATCTGTCCAACTCAGTCAGAGGACACTAATTGTGGCAATCATTTCTCTGGCTTATGCCTCAATTCCTTTACTATAGAAGAAAGAACTGAGGCAACTCTGGCATATACCAATGTTAAAGCAAGGATTACATAACAAACTAGAAGTTGTACATTCACCATAGGAAACAAGATTTTCTAAGAACCTAAACTGTTCCCATACTTTAGATTTTTAAAACTTTTTTTCCCAGAGTAATCTAGACTCTCTCTAGGTAGCTGACCCAATGACATCTTAAGTCTTCTTCTTTTTTTTTTTTTTGGTTTTTTCGAGACAGGGTTTCTCTGTGTAGCCCTGGCTATCCTGGAACTCACTCTGTAGACCAGGCTGGCCTCGAACTCAGAAATCCACCTGCCTTTGCCTCCCAAGTGCTGGGATTAAAGGCGTGCGCCACCACTGCCCGGCTTAAGTCTTCTTTTATCCACCTTGAGACATTAAGACATCTCTTAGTAATACACTCAAGGCCTGGCAGTACACACCACCTATATCCTTGGCACTCAGAAACCTTATGCAGGGGAATTTGCAAACTCAAAAACACATTTGAATTTGAGGCCACCTGGCTACTCGTGACACAATGTTTTTTTGGGTTTTGTTTCTTTGGGTTTTTTTTTGTTTTTGTTTTTGTTTTTTAAAGAACACACTTAAGAGAAACATTTCAACTCTAAAAGCATCTTCTTCAAAATCCTCTTCCATTACTTCGGCTCTTTCATCCTAAATTCCTTTCCCTAAGGTTGTGGTCCCATTTCATTCTGTGATCCACTTTTCCTGCCCCCCTCCTCTACACCCTTTCAGAATCCTTCCTGCAAAACAAAAGCCCAAGAGTGGGCCAACACTCAAACACCTACTGTTCCTGAAGCATGTTAAGAAAGAGAAAACAAGGCTGCAGTTCATACCAAGAATTGTAACACACTACTGTACTCTCAAAGGATGATAAATCCACAGACTGAAAATTCCACCAGTAACTAATCACAGTACTCACAGAAAGCAACCCTCCTCACCAGTTTTCTCTCTGGCCCAACTCAAAACCACAGCCATATGGAACCAATAGAACTCAACAGTGTATCATATTTATAATTAAAGTAATCCTGTGTGTGTTTCAAATTTAGAACTCACCACGTTTGATTAAAAAGCTAAGTGGAATCCACATGAAAACATGAATTTAAAAAGTGTGTGTAATACCCACATTTGGAACTCTGAAATTTTGACTGAGACTCACTTGATTATAAAAAGAATAATCTATGTGGACCCACTTAATTTCATAATGTGTTCAAAGTCCTTTATACATAGCATTTTAATATTTTGCCAGAAGGACGTAATTTACTCACTAAAGGAAAACTAGGGTTGAGGAGGCCACATGTAAATACAGCAAATATCTAACATCAGCCATAAATCCATATTCTTCTACAGATGATGCCATTTAAGACCTAATGGCATTTAACACCACGAGGTCATTGCTGATGACATTTGTCCAGGATTAGTTCTTTAGTTTAATGTATCATTTTTTTTACCCTTGGTATAAAATATGTATGTTTCAATAAATATTACTGTAGAAAAGGTGATATACCATAAATAACAAACTACTAGAACAGCAAAGGTAAAACCAAGATGTGCACTAGAAAAGCGATTCTAAATTTAAACTTCAGCAAGGAAAACCCTCACACCACTATTCACAAGTCTCGGTTCAAGCAATTTATTTTTGGCGAGACAAATCACAGCTGTCAACGCTTTTTTTTTCCCACCCTACAATTACATAAATTATTCCGAAAAAAAAATATAGACATCTTCAACTTGAAGGGAATTAACTTACAAATGCCGTGTGTCGTTATGAATGGTTTTTTTTTCCTTTAAAAAGTCACACGGAAGAGGGGTTAAAAATAAAAGGCAAACAAACAAACCCTGGAAGATGCAGCAGAGCCCCCTTGCTCCCGAAATAAAACTCCTGGTGGCTGTCACAGCAGTGCTACTCCCGACAGAAGTTTTCAGCTGTCACTTCTAACAGCTGAGCGCTTCCTAGGAGAGAAGCGACAGGCCGAGAAGAGAAGTGGTTGTGGGGAGTCTGAAGATTTAAAACTTGCAATCTTACACTCCAAAGGGAAACCCTTCCGCGCCTCACCTGCACTAAGGGGGACACCCAGCAAGATCAGCCCTCCCCACCCCCAGCACACGCTCACACCACCCGGGCCACACTCAAGCCCCACAGTTGCAGAAGCCGACCGCGCGCCTTTTCTCCTCGGCGCTCCAGAAACACAGCGCTCGGGGCAGCGCTCAGCTAGGGATCAGGGCGAGACCTGCACCTGCGCGCCCCGCAGAGGCCTCACACCTAGGGCCAGGTCCACCCGCCCGCTCCCCCGCTCGGCCGCGCGGCGCCTCAGCTCCTCCTGGAGACCGCTCGCGTCCCCCCGGGTCTCCGCGCCCTAGGACACACCAGGCTTTCCGGGCCCACGCCGCCACCCCGGCCCTGTCACCTCGCCGCTCCCCCCCACCCCCGGGGACCCCGGGCCTCACCCCCTCCTCCAGCTCATCCTCAGAGCCTGCATCCTCTGGCTGGTCCAGGTCTATGTCAAACACTCCTGCCATGTCCTCAGCTTCCCTGTGTCGGAAGTCAGGCGCTGGGTAGAAGCCGTCCCGCCTCCGTCGTCGCCTCATGGGCCCGGACCCGCCGCAGACTTCACTGCTGCTGCCGCCATCACCGGCTGCTTAAGCTCAATGCGTCTGCGCCTAGGCCCCAGACTGGCTCCTCAAGTTCAGCCCCGGAGCATGCGTACAAGGTCTTCTGAAGCCGTACAGTGGGCATCGGACATGCGTAGCATTATCTCCCGGTGCCAGGTACTGGCAGGAACATGCGCAGAACACCAACCGAAGCCAAGCCTGGAAAGTACAGCATGCGCGGTTCTGTCTAAGGCGTTTGCCGGACACGGAGCATGCGTACCATATCTGAAGTTGATAAATTGAAATTGAACACGCGTGATTAACCTTTCTAATAGAAAAAGGGAGACGGGGGTCGAAAAAAGACAAGCCCTCAGCAGAGCTCTTTACATAAGGAGCAAGCGCATTTATTTGTTCTAAGTAGTTTTTTTAATTATTGAAAGTGAGCATGCGCATAGTGAGAGGGTTGGACTCCTGAAGTTTGAACCGAACTGAAACTGCTGGTCGGAGAGCTGTCAGTGAGTGTGGGGTTAACGGGGAGCTGATAGGGAAGAAAGGCAAAGAGAGACTCTTGCCTTTGCTATTTGCTAATTCAGTGGCTTGAAAAAGTTACATAACCCTTCGGTAACTCAATTTCCTTAATTGTAAAGTGAGAATAGTATTACCTGCGATGCAAGCTTAGACGTTAAGTTGAAAGTCTGGTTTGTAAGCCTCTGCTCATTTCCGGGCTTCTTAGACTTGATGTGAAGTATTTATCAAAAATACTCTTTTTTTTTTTTTTTAATAGTCCCTGTTCTCGGAGAGGCTGAGGCAGAAGGATCATGTGTTTGAAGACAGCTCAGATTACTTAGACAGTTTCAGGCCTGACTGGGCTACATAGGGAGACCCTGTCTCAAAACAAACAACTCTCTTTTGTTGTTTAAAAATAATAAAGATTTATTTTCATATTTTATCTGGTCTTTCACTAAGCTCCAATTTTGTTTTTCTTTCTTTTCTTTCTGAGACATGGTCTCACTATGTAGCTCTGGCTGTCCTGGAACTCACTGTGTAGGTGCAAACCCACAGAGATCGGTCTGCCTCTGCCACCCAAGTGCTGGGATAAAAGACTTGAGCCACTATGCCTAGATCCAACTTTATGTTTGTTTGGGTTTTGGTTTTCTGAGACAGAATTTCTCTATTCGGCCCTGGCTGTCCTGGAACTCACTGTGTCCTCAAACTCAGAGATCTGCCTACTTCTGTCTCTGGAGTGCTGGAATTAAAGACCAGGCTTATTGATCTTAATTGTGCTTACCAGGCCAGAAGACAGTTGGTGAGAAAAGAATAAATAAGTCATTTTCTTGGAAGACAGAAAATTAATGTTATTGAATGTTCTATTGTTGAGCTAACTTCTGATGACCATGCAGTGTGAAATGTATACAAAGAGTTCCTTCAACATTATATTTCCTTTAGATAATTTTTTTATGTGTGTGAGTATATGTGCACATGTGTGTGAATATGAGCATTTATGCAAATGTTCAGGAGATGAGGGCATCCAGTATCACTTTGAGGCAAAGTCTCTCTCTCTCTCTCTCTCTCTCTCTCTCTCTCTCTCTCTCTCTCTTTCTCTCTCTCTCTCTCTCTCTTTCTCTGAACTTAGGGCTGAGTTTTCTCAACCAAGCAGGAAGCTATCCACAGTGGTCCTTCTGTCTGCACTGGACTTGCATCTGTAACTACAGGCCTGCACAGGACATCTGGCTTGTTATCTGGATGCTAGCATCTAAACTCTGGCCCTCATGATTACACAGTTCCCACAACCAACATTTTTGTTATGGTTTGTTTTCTTTTAAAAGCATACTTGGGAAAACAGTGAATATGAATCATATTTTGGAAACTATTGAATTGTGTGTGAATGAATTTGGGCACAGTAAAGCCTAAATCCTCCAAATTATAGAGTGAGGGAATTTCTTTAAATGATTAGATTCTTAAATGGAGACAAGAAAAATTGAGGAACATGGGGAGATTAGGAAAAGGATGCTTTATTCCAAAACTTAGTTGAGGTCCCACTATCTGAGAATCACTAAGGAAGATGGCTCAGGGGCAAAGTACTCATAATGCAAGCCTGAGGATCTGAGTATGAATCTCCAGAATTCATGTAAAACCAGATGTGTTAGTACACATCTGTAATCCCAACATTCCTATGGAAAGCTGGGGAGTGGAGATAGGAGATTCCCTAGAATCATGGGCCAGCTAATCTGATACACAGCTGCAAACAACAAAAGAGAGACCCATCCTCAGACCTGGTAGAAAGCAAGGACCACACACATATGTATACAGAATTAACAAAATTCTCTGTGAAAGGTACCAATGTAGAGACAACATTTCTTTTATAAAGGGCTAGTTCAAATAAGAATGTTAAAATAGTAATGCTTACAGCCTAAGAGTATATGATTTCTTACTCTGTTTCCAAATATAAGCCTGCAGTTTTCTGGGACTCTCTTGAACAAGGGCATAAGCTCCATTTACAGAAAAACATGGTGCAACTGTCTTGCTGCAACCTTTGTGCCCTTTGGTTTCATCTTGTTAGCCTGTTGACCTCTCCAGTACACTCTAGGAAACACTTTGTAATTACACACAAAAGTAAGAAGAGGGAAAGAAAAACAGATCTCTTGGAAAGTCTTTGAACAGTATAATGTCAAGACAATAAAATCTGGCTGGAGAGATGGCTCAGTAGTTAAGAGAACTTGCTGCTCTTCCAGAAGACCCAGGTTCAGTTCCAAGCATCTACAAGGCAGTTGTGACCACAGTCCCAGATGATATGTTGTGACACCCTCTTCTGGCCCTTGAGGGCACTGCATGCATGTAGTCACCAGACAGACATGCAAGCAAAACATACACATAACATAAGAATAAATTCACAGCACTCAGGAGGCAGAAGCAAGTCTCTGTGAGTTTGAGGTTAGCCTGATCTATATAGTGAGTTCTAGGACAGCCAGAGCCACACAATGAGGCCCCATCTCAAAAACAAAAACAAAACAAAACAAAAATGATTAATTAAATACTTTTATTTTTTTATTATTTATTATTATTTTTTTTTTTTTTGGTTTTTCGAGACAGGGTTTCTCTGTGCAGCCCTGGCTGTCCTGGAACTCACTCTGTAGACCAGGCTGGACTCGAACTCAGAAATCGGCCTGCCTCTGCCTCCCAAGTGCTGAGATTAAAGGCATGCGCTACCACCGCCCGGCCAATTAAATACTTTTAAAAAGAAGAAGACAACAAAATTCACATTAATATATGTGGTTATTGCTAAGACATTTAAATGTGATTCTTTCTTAAAGAGTTCACACCCCCACACTGGGAATGTAATATCCTTTTCTTCAGTGCCTTTCTTTCCGTTAACACACTGACTTAAATCTGTGTTAAAAATCTCATGGGAATCTGTTAATAAACCTCAATGTAGCTTTATATGGCCCTCCTGAAGTACTTTCTGATGGCAAAGCTAAGAATCATAGTTTGCAGAGCATGGTGCTGCATGCCCTTAATCCCCGCATTCCAGAGACAGAAACAGGCTGATCTCTGTGAGTTCTAGGCCAGCCAGAGCTACCTCATGAGATCCTGTCTTAAAAACAAATACATATACATATACATACATACATACATACATACATACATATATATGCTTATCTGTACATACATATATACATACACACACATATACATGCACAGTCTTTTTTGTTGTTGTTGTTGGTTTTTCAAGACAGGGTTTCTCTGTGTAGCCCTGGCTGTCCTGGAACTCACTCTGTAGACCGAGCTGGCCTCGAATTCAGAAATCGGCCTGCCTCTGCCTCCCAAATGCTGGGATTAAAGGCGTGCGCCACCACCGCCCGGCTATCCATGCACAGTCTGTCTTATGAGCTGGCCTAGAACGCACAGAACTCTACCTTCATCTGCCTCCTTAGTACTAGGACTAAACATGTGTGCCATCATGCCTAGACAAAAAAAAAATTAGTTTTTTTTAACATATATTTTTAACTTTCTAAAAATGTTGTTCTTATGTTATATGAGAATACCTGCTTGACTGTATGTACGCCATAGGTATGCAGTGCCTGAGGAGGCCATCAGAGGGCAATTGGATCCCCCAGAATTGAAGTTCCAGACAGTGGTGTGAGTGCTGAGATCCATGCTGGGCCTTGTGAAGGAGGAGAAAGTGCTTTAAACACTGAGCCATCCCTCCACCCCTTACTGATAGAATGTGAACACGCAGCATATTGTTTGTTCTTCTTAGCAATGTGTTGTTTTCTCATATCTGTGTCTTTTTCTCTCACAGGTGACCCACCCCCTTGTGTTTTAGACTAGGCCTCATTTGTGACTTGGCATGTCGATAGTGACAGTACAGCTGGGGCAGTGTGGCAACCAGATTGGCTTTGAGGTGTTTGATGCTTTATTTAGAGACTCACACTGTTCCCAGGGACTCTGTTCTAAGAGAGAAAACGAGGCATATCAAGCATCCTGCAAAGAAAGATTTTTCAGAGAGGAAGAAAATGGAGGTAAGCATGGTCAAGAGTCCTCCCCACACCAGACATCAGCATCTTCAAAGTCTGTCTCTCAACAAGTATCTAAACCCCATCTCTTCCACCTCACTAGGGAAGGCCTTTGCTTGTCTCCCCCTACCCCATGCTGGGGTTTGAATCCAAGGCCTCAGCCGGCTATACAAGTACTCTACCTCCAACCCTTGTATTTAAAAAAATACAAAACAAACAAACAAACAAAAACCCCCAAAAAACTGAATGTAGGGCTGGCAATATGGTTCACTGACTTAGAAGTTTGCGCTCTGTGGTACCCACATAAAATATATAATTTTTCCTCCTACTCTAGTTCCAGTGGCCCGGGCTGTTCTTGTTGACATGGAACCTAAAGTTATTAATCAAACGCTATCAAAAGCTGCCCAGTCTGGCCGATGGAAATATGGTCAGCACACAAGCTTTTGTCAGAAACAAGGATCTGGGAACAACTGGGCGTATGGGTAAGAACAACTTCGTAACAGTAACTCTTACTCTCCTAATGTAATCTAAGGCTGACTGCCCCCATCTGCCAACCTAGGCCTAGACCTGGAAGCTCCTAGCCTCTGTACAATTTTATCTAGAACTAGAATATTTTCAGCCTCTGACACTTACTGTTGAATAAGCTCACCCTTTCTTGTTCTTTCTGAGCTCTGGCTGGTTCAACTCAGCTGTTCTGGTTCAAGCTCCTCTCGAAGCTGACTGATTCTGTGTGGTTCCTCTGCCTCTGACTGAATTGCTCTGCTTGGCCTCACACTAACTTTGGCAATATGTTCTAATCTTCTGGCTCCTTCTCATTCTCTGGCTTGTTAGTCCTCATGTATGTACAGCTTGTTCTCTCTCTGCAACCTGTCTCTCTATAACTGTCCCAGTAAAACTACCCTTCCCTCCCACACTGCCCCTCAAGGAGCTTCCCTTTCCTCTCTCTTCTTGTGAGAGTTGGGCATATCCTGTCAAATCTTTCTCTGATTTGTCACTTTGCCACTCAATTAGACATCACTTTCAAACATGGGTGCTTCCTTCTACAAACTAACTTTACCTTCGTTTGAGATTAAAGTGTGTACTAAGGGCCGTTCTGTATTCCATCCTGAGGGATTAAAGGAATATGCTAAGGGCTGAGCTACACCACAACTAAGAATATGATTTTTCAGTAAATAACACAATTTTGGGGTTCACAGTGTGATCAAGTATTCTGTAACAGAACTCCTCTTGATTTTCAGTGAAGTTACAGCAATACAGTTAAGTATTCATACTATTATCACTACGTAGCTGATGCAACAAGCTCAAAATCTTGGAAGTGTTATATTACAATTTAGAATTTAGAGCTGGTGTGATGGCACATGCCTTTCATTCCAGTACTCAGGAGGCAGAGGCAGGCAGATCTCTGTGAATTCAGCCCACCTAGGTCTACTTAGTGAGTTCCAGGCTATCTTATTCATTGTTCTCTTGCTGTGAAGAGATACCATGACCAAAGCAACTCCTACAAAAGAAAACATTTCATTGGGCTTATTTACAGTTTCAGAGGTTCAGTCCATTCTCATCATGGAGGGGAGCGTTGAGACATGCAGACAGACGTGGTGCTGGAGAAGGAGCTGAGAATTCATTTGGATTCACAGGCAGCAGGAAGAGAGACACTGGGCCTCACTTGAACTTTTAAAGCCTCAAAGCCACCCTCAGTGATGCACTTCCCCCCCACAAGGTTACAGCTACTTCCAATAAGGCCACACCTTCTAACCCTTCAAAAATAGTTTCACTTCCTGATGACTAATTCAAATATATGAACCTACGGGGTCCATTCTTATTCAGACCACCACATAAGCCACCGAGGCTACCTAATCAAATCTTGTCTCAAACCAAAACTAAACTAAAATTAAGAATTTGGAGCTGGGCAGTGGTAGCACATGCCTTTAATCCCAGCACTTTGGAGGCAGAGGCAGGTAGATCTCTATGAGTTCAAGGACAGCCTGGTCTATAGAGTGAGCTCCAGGACAGCCAGGACATCTATGCAAAAAGACCCTGTCTTGAAAAAAACAAAGATAAATACGTTTAAAAAAGAATTTGGGCCAGTGAAATGGCTCAGAGGGTAAAGGCTTTCCCCTCCAACCCAAAGAACTCAGTTCGATTCCCCAAACCCACAATGTAAAAAGAGGGACCTGACTCCCCAGATTATCTTCTGACATCCATACAGGTGTCATGGCACATGCATGCCCTCCCGTAAACATATGCAATTAAATAAATAAATAAATAAATAAATAAATAAATAAATATTATAATGTGTCAGGCCTGGTGCAAGCCTATAATCCCAGCCACTCAGAAAGAAGACCTCCGGTTCATTGTCTGCCTGAGCTCTAGAGCTACCTCAAAGTGAGCCTTGGCATTTTAGCAAACTCCTGTCTCAAAATTCGAAGTATATAAGCAAAGGGGCCGAGGGTAGAGCTCAGCGGTAGAGCTCTGGCCCAGTAGTTCCCAAGCTTTGCTGCACCATAGAATTTCCAGAAGGCAGCTAGGTAATCCCAGCACTTGGGAGGCTGAGGCAGGATGGTGAGTTCCTGGGCCACTCTTACAAAATATGAGGCCAGCGAGATGACTCAGTAGGTAAAGGCAATTGCTTCCAAGCCTGAGGATCTGAGTTCGTCCCCAGGAGTTGTCTTCTGGCCTCTACACTTACACCATGGCCTACGTTCGTACACACACACACACACACACACACACACACACACACACACACATACACCATACATGCGGTATAATAGTAAAATAATAACAACAAATAAAATAATCCCATTGTTCTCAGTTAAAAGGAACTTCCTAAATCCTGTAATTTATTCTTTTAGCCATACTATCCACCTGTTAAATATATTTAACCTGTGTCTATTAAATGTTTTCAGTCAGGGTACCTGAGCCTTACATGAGACCCATTGCCATAGCTTTGGAAAGGGCTGTCTCCTAAACAGCCTCCCTCTGTACCACCTCCCTCTGGGTAATCTAACGGGCGCTGTGTTTGTTTCTTTTGCTTTGGCATAGTTACTCTGTGCATGGACCGAAGCATGAGGAATCTATAATGAACTTAATCCAAACAGAGGTGGAGAAGTGTGACTCTTTGAGTGGATTCTTCATCATAATGAGTATGGCCGGGGGGACAGGATCCGGGCTGGGAGCCTTCATTACACAGAAGCTACAGAATCAGTACTCCAGTTCCTTGAAAATGAACCAGATTATATGGCCTTACGGAACGGGTGAGGTATGAACATGTTAATTAAAAGTTATGTTTAGTATATGAGTGTTTTACTTGCCTGTATGTATGTGCACACATGCATGCCTAATGCCCAAGGAGACTAGAAGAGGGCAGATTTTTGGTACTAGGGTCATAAGGTTGTAAGCCATCATGTAGGTTCCGGGAACCAAACCCAGGTCTTCTGGAAGACCAGCAAGTACTCTTAACCACTGAACCATTTCTCCAGCCCCTGATTCAAAAGTTTTATGTTGTATATTCTTTTCTCTCTTTCTTTTTTTTAGTCAATTTAGCCACAAGTAGGAGTCTGGTATCATCATCTGCTATTTCTCCTTGGTAAATACTCACTAGGGGAGTAATTAGATCATGAATATTTTCTTTCTTTTTAAATTTTATTTATTTTTATGTCATGTTTATGTATGTATGAATGTATGTCTATGCATCATGTGGTGTCAGATGTCCTGGGACTGGAGTTAGACAGTTGTGAACTCTCATGTGGTTACTGGAATCAAACCCTGATCCTCTGGAAGAGAATCTAGTGCTTTAACCACTGAGCTATCTCTCTAGCCCCTATATTCTTTGTTTTTAAGGTAAATATGAATAAATGGATCTCACTCTTTGGGAATGTTGAATTCTAGCTTCAGGACTGATTGTAATCTTTACGTGAACAATTAATTTAATCTTGGTTACATTTCCCACACGTGTGAAGTATCCTTTGTTTTGTTTTTGTTGTGTTTTTGTTTTTGTTTTTTTGAGACAGGGTTTCTCTGTGTAGTTCTGGTTGTCCTGGAACTCACTCTGTAGACCAGGCTAGCCTCGAATTCAGAAATCCACCTGCCTCTGCCTCCCAAGTGCTGGGATTAAAGGCGTGCGCCACCACTGCCCAGCATCCTTTGTTTTTTAAATGTTTTGTTTCATTTTGGTTTTAGGATTTTTGAGACAGTCTTACTTACCTAGGCTGGCCTCCACCTCAAGACCTGTCTACCCAATGCATGGCTGAAGTGTCTTTAAAAACAAAGCAAAACAAACAAACAAAAAAAATTAAGCCTGTCATGGTTGCACATGTCTTTAAATAAAAAAAAAAAAAAAGCGTGTAGATTCCAAAGTCATCCTGCCTGGCTTCAACTCCTTGGTCTGTTACTTTCCAGCACCATCACACTGAGGTTATTTCATTTCTCTGTGCATTGCTTTCCTCTGTGTAAAATGGGGACAAAAATACCTGCCTCCTGAAGGTGAAGGATACAATACAAGTAAAGCATACAGTAAGGCAGGTGACGGTGGCACAGCACTCTGGAGGCAGAGGCAGAGGCAGAGAGGCAGGTTAATCTCTGCCAGTCTACATAGCAAGTTCTGTACTACCCAGGGCTATACAATCTCAAAACAAAAACAAAAAGTTATTGCTACCACACTTCTTTCCTGAATCACTTCATACATTTGGTTTTCCTCCTAGAAAGATCAACTGGAAATTGGTAGGCATATAAATTTCTTCTCAATAGAGGGAAATTAAGATCATTTGAAGACTAGCCACAATACCATGGACCCCAAAACAAGGTCTCTCTCTGTAGTACCAGAAGGACCGACCCAGAAATGGGCTCCTGAGAGATACACAATCATCTTTGAATTCATTGATGTTATTCTTTTTTTTTTTTCCTTTTTGGTTTTTTGAGTCTAGATTTGTCTGTGTAGCCCTGGCTGTCCTGGAACTCACTCTGTAGTTCCCAAACTCACAGAGATCACCTGCCTCTGCCTCCCGAGTGCTGGGATTGAAGTCGTGATCAGCACCACAGGGCTGGTATCTACACTCTTACCTACTCAGCCTCTCTTCCTGTCTTTGACTCTTCCTTCCAGGTTATTGTGCAGAACTACAACTCCATCCTGACTCTCTCTCACTTGTACCGGTCTTCAGATGCCCTTCTCATTCACGAGAATGACGCTGTCCATAAGATCTGTGCCAAACGGATGAACATCAAGCAGATCTCCTTCAGAGATTTAAATCAAGTTCTTGCTCATCAGCTGGGCAGCGTGTTCCAGCCTACATACTCCGAGGACAGCTCATCTCACTACCGCAGAAATCCACTAGGTACTTGGCCTCTCTGCTATTTGTAGAAAAAAATATGTACTGAAAGCCCCAAAGTTATTTTTCAATGTCTCCTCCCCTCTGCCTGGAGATATATCCAAGATATATGTCCCTGACCCTGCCTTCATCCCTGAACTGTCTTACTGGAAATCTCAAGAAGTTACTAAGTTTCTCAGAAGCATACAGTGTGGTATCTAAATGCTCCTCACGGACTACACTGTTTGTGGAGCTGCTATTCTCCTAGGACCTAAACCAGGGCATGACAAATACCAAGCACTTGATAGAACATTCATTGGGTAGAACTGTGTGTGTGTTTTGTACTGCTGGGGATAGAAGCTAAGGTCTTACACATGCTAAGCAGTCTTACACCACTGAACTACAACCAACAGAAAAAAAGGTAGAGAGATGCAGAGTCCACAGAAATGATGGGGCTGGGCTGGAGAGATGGCTTAATGGTTAAGAACACTTGTTCATGCAGAAGACGTTCCTGGCTCTAGTGATTCACAAGCAACCATAACTCCAGGTCATGGAGATCTGACTCCCTCTTCTGACCTCAGGGGCACCAGGCATGCACATAGTGTACATACCTACATGCAGGCAGAACATCCAGACACATAAAATACATCTTTGAAGAAGAGAAGGAGGAGGAGGGAGAGGAGGAGGAGGAGGAGATAGTGGTGGTGGTATTGGTGGTGGTGGTGATGTGGGCTTCTAATTGGACTGGCACTATGTTTAAGGATTGAAAACTCAGGAGAGGGTTTGCTGTCAGTCGTGTGACCTGCTGCCCATCTCGACAGAGCATTCTCTGATCTATACTGTCATGTTGCTTTGGATAAAGTTTCCTTGCTACTTTTCAATAATGAAGAAAGAGGGAAGGTGAGGCTGGGGAGGGCACAGGAACATGAAGAAGAGAAAGAAAATTCAGAGAGACTCCAGGCTGCCATGTGGTGTTGTGTCCCATAGTTGTGCTCTGATTGGAAAGATGAGGAGTAGGGGCAGTCCAAGATTCTGAGAACAAGGAAGACAGATGGTCTGAGAAGGAAGAAGCCAGTAGACAAGCGTCTCAGTCCGGTCCTGGAATTGCTAGGCCAAGTCAGAGTAAGAGGGATGGCAGAGCGGCCTAGGACATGACTTAGTAGCAGAGCGTGGCTGAGAATGTAAGCCCCTGGGGGTGGAGATGACCCCTAGAGGTGTGAATTACAGGTTGTTACAACCTGTCCTCTCTTCTGGCTTTTTATGTGTTTATTTTATTCTGGGTCTTGCTCTGTTGCCTAAGTTGGTCTTGAACTCCTGGGCTAACCAGATCCTCTTGGTCTCTACCTCAGCCTCTGGAACTGTGGACCAGGCCTGCCTCATGCCACAAATTTTTGTTTGGTGGCTCTCTACCACAGACCTATGTTTCTATCCCCAAACAGGTTTGATTATCATTTAGCAAAATAAATAGAAGATCTGGAATGTTTTCTAAGGAACATTCAGTGACTACAGAATGAAAGAAAAGTATCTTAATTATCTTTTATAATTGATTTTCCTAGAGTTTAGTGAATTGGTCACCCATATATCTACTGATAACTCTTTTGGCAAAGTATATGGTGCTTATTTTGATTTTGTCTTTTTCTCTTCCCTCCCTCCCTCCCTCCCTCTTCTTTTTTTTGAGACAGGGTCTCACTATGGTAGCTCTGACTATCCTGGAACTCATTCTGGTCCAGGCTGGCCTTGAACTCACAGAAATCTCCCTGCCTCTGCATCCCAAGTGCTAGGATTAAAGGTATACACAACTGTGCCTGGGTATCCATTTCAGTTTTGAGACAGGGTCTTACTATGTAATCCCTTGAGTTGGCCTGGACCCTGTGGGCAGTCTCCTGCCTCTGACTGCTTAGCGTTGGGATTACAAGCATGAGCCACCATACCCATTTTAAGTATGCTTTCTCAGCCTTGCTAAAATGAAGCAAAGATCTAGGCTTGATGGTGCGTGCCTTTAATCCCAGCATTCTGCAAGCAGAGGCAGATGGATCTCTGTGCATTCAAGACCAGCTTAGTGTACAAAGGGAGTTCCAGGTCAGTCAGGGCTACACAGTGAGGCCCTGTGTCAAAAATCATAAATAAAAAGTGAATGAAATGAAGCAAAAATGTAGTCTGTAGCACACACTGTGTCTAAAAATTCACTGTTTTAATGTTTAAGCAATTCTAGTTTGGAGAAAACGTATTTGACTCTAAACTTCATTAAGTCACCGTTGTATAAAAGTCAATGGCACCATTGTGGGTGAAGTCAATTGAGTTCACATTGCATTATTATTTTTTTTCCCCTACAGGAGACTTAATGGAGCATTTAGTTCCCCACCCTGAGTTTAAGATGCTGGGTGTCCGTAACATTCCTCAGATGTCTGCGGAGTCTCTGGCATACAGCACGTTTACCTGGGCTGGCCTCCTCAAGCATTTAAGACAGATGCTTATTTCCAGTGCAAAAATGGAAGAAGGTAAAGGGATATTTTAAAAATAGACAACCCACATACCAGGAAAGCGCCTGTCCTGGAGCCCTGGGTATAAACTGGCTCAGGCTGGTTGAAATAAAGGCCTCTTCTTCTGGCCTAGGAACCTCCTACAGAAACTCCCCGGGACATTCCCGGGACATTGCTAAGGGCTTCTTGATGGTTTTAAAGTTTATCTGGAAAGGACATGTCAGACAAGTGCCGTGTTATTCAAATCTTTATTTTAATTACTTCAAAGTAAAATATGAATGTAGTTTTTAAAAAATCAAATAGTTAGCTTACTAACCTGTGTAAGGCCCTACATTCAGCCCTAAGCCCCCCAAAAATCAGGGGTGGAGGTGCATGTATGTCTGTGACCCCAACATTGCAGATATAGAACAGGGGGATTAGCCATGAGCCTGACCTGCTACAAGTTTCAGGTCAGCCTCGGGTATATTAGACCCTGCCTCAGAAGAAAACTAAATCGTGCGCAGTGAGAAGGCTCCATGGGTAAAGGAGCTGTGTCCAAGATGATGGCCTGAGTCTAAGTCCTGGGACCCACAAGGTGGAAGGAGAGAATCAGCTCCCACACACTGTCCCTGACTTCTACACATGCTCTGTGGTACACATGAGCACACACCTACATGCAAATAAAAAAATCAATTTTCTTTTCAAGACAGAGTTTCTTTGTGTAGCCCTGGCTGTCCTAGAACTCACTGTGTGGCACAGGCTGGCCTCAAACTCACAGAGATCCCCCTGCCTCTGCCTCCTGAGTGCTGGGAATAAAGGTGTGTGCCATCACAGCCTTGTCAATTAATTTTTTATAAATCAAATAATCAAGTAGTTAAAATTCACTTAAGGACTAGGAGTCTACCTGGTGGCAGTGTACACAATTTTGAAATGTTTTCTTTACTTTCTATGTATGGGTGTTTTGCCTGCATGTATGTTTGTACACTACATACATGCTTGGTACTGTGGAGACCAAGAGTTCATCTTAGGACCAGAGTTACAGACAAATGTGAGTCACCATATGGATGCTGGGAATAGAACCTGTGTCCTGTTGAAGAGCAGCCAGTGAGTAACCTCTCCAGTCTTCCAGCAAACTCTCTGCATGTGAGAGGCCCTGGATTTGATCCCTCGAATTCCACTGTAGGCACATTGTAAATAGCAGTGTACTGGGTGGAGCAGTTGTGTGGCACACCTTAGTCAAGGGAACACAGACAGCAGTGCCCAGCCTTGGTCCCTATCACTCAGGTAAAACCACTTTCCAAGCCTTCAGTTGTTCCTTCTGAAGTTTATTTCCTTATTTCTGAATATTTGGCTCAGATTTTTTTTAAGATTTATTTATTTTATGTATATGAGTACACTGTCTTCAGACACACCAGAAGAAGGCATCAGATCCCATTACAGATGGTTGTGAGCCACCGTGTGGTTGGTGGGAATTGAACTCAGGACCTCTGGAAGAGCAGTCAGTGCTCTTAACCACTGAGCCACCTCTCTAGCCCTAAGATTTTTATTTTATTCCCAACTTTAACTATTACCAGTTTTCTTCCTCATTTTCCTCACCATTTTGTTTTTAGTTTTAACTTGGTTTTGTTTGTTCTTTATGTTTTTTTAAATATCCCTGCATGTGTATGTGTGTGTGTGTGTGGTCACATAGGTGGGGGAGGGTGTGTGTGCATGTGTGTCCGTGCATGTAGAGGCCAGTTGACGGTGATTGACATCAGGTATCGTCCGCAGTCACTCTCTACGTTATTTTTTGAGGCAGGATCTCATGCTGAACCCAGAACTCAGTTCTGCTGTGGCTAGCCAGTTTGCTCAGGGACCTCTTGTCTGTATCTCCCAGTGCTGGGATTTCAGGCAGCCTACCATGCCTACCTAGCTTTTATATGGGTGCTGGGATCTGAACTCTGGTTCTCACACTTGAGACACGGTCTCACATAATACAGCCTCAAACTTGCTATGGCTGGTCTTGAATTCCTGCTCCTTCTGATTTCATCCCCAACCCCTTAGGATTATAATGTTGTAAGTGAACACCCAGCACTTAGGAGACAGAGGCAGGAGGGTGTCTGAGTTTGAGGCCAGGCTGGCCTATAGAACGAGTTCTAGGACAGCCCCAAACTTCCCTGCCTTTGTAGTATGTCTACTCTGTCGATGAGAATCCTTACGAAAGGAACAGGAGTCTCAAGGCTTTCAGATGGAGGAAGGTGGCATCAGGATTGCTCAGCTGTAGGTTGGGGATGGACCACTTACAAAGCAGCCACAAGTCTTTGGGTTCAAGTCACTGTCCCAGCACTGGTCTTCTCAGAGCCGGGGTAGGTAGAGTTTCCACACAGTGACCCAGTTTCCCACAAGCCTCTTTGCAGAGCTGGGTTACAGTTCCTGAGGCTGGCCTTGCTGGTTTATCTTTTTCATAGCAGAAATCTCCCTGTTCCCTCTGCTGTTAGAAATGTCTGTCTTGCTCCCAGGATTTTGACAGTGGGTGGGAACAGCCACTGTTCTGGTTGCTCAGGAGTATTGCTGATGCTCTCTTCACATCTGCTGCTGGTTTCCCTATGTTAAGACATCCTGAGCCGGGTGGTGGTGGCGCACACCTTTAATCCCAGCACTTGGGAGACAGAGGCAGGTGGATTTCTGAGTTCGAGAGTTCGAAGCTAGCCTGGTCTACAGAGTGAGTTCCAGGACAGCCAGGGCTACACAGAGAAACCCTGTCTCGAGAAAAAAAAAACAAAAGACATCCTTACAGTACACCGGAGTATGTGTGGTCCTTTGCCTTTAACTAGAAATCACTGGATGTTACCTAGTAGTAGGTATTATAGGAAAATATAAAATAACAGGTTGATTTCCCTCCATTTGTTGGTTGGCAGTGCCAGTGTAGAAAGTCTACATCTTAAAGTAATGCTTTCCAGTTTTATTTTGGGCCCCAGCACTTGTTTTTCTTGCAATACCTGCTAATATTTCATGGAGCAAAGTGTTCTTCAAAGGAGTATGAAGCACCCTGCACCAAGCTCTGACAGGTCAATAAAGAGCAGTTAATCATTTTCCCACACAGAACTAACTGTAGGATATCAATGGGGTTTTTTTATAGTTAGTTATAGAGTTTAAGTATGTAAAAAAATTTTGTAGTACAAAAACTGAATTTTTTAAGTTTCACATATACTAGGCTAGTGCACTACCATTGAGCTATGTATCCCTGAATGTTTTCAGTTTTTGAATATATGACTAAGGATATGGGTAAACATATTTATGGCACAGACAAAGGTGAAGGATCTAGCTTTATGATGGTTCATGTTATCAGATTGCTCTGCATGAAGATTGGCCCGATTCGTGTTACCATCATCGTGTATCCCATGTATCGCAGCAACAGACAACAGGGGCTGGGGGGATGAATGACTGAAGCAAGAGAGAGGAAAACTACCAGATGCAATAACACACACCTCTAATCCCAGTACTCGGGAGGCAGAGGCAGGCAGAACTCTGAGTTCAAGGCCAGTCTGTTCTACATAGCAAATTGCTGGACAGTCAGAACTACTTAATACATAGACCCTAGGGAGAAAGTGAGAGAGAGAGAGAGACAGAGAGAGACAGAGAGAGGCAGAGACAGAGACAGAGAGAGAGACAGAGAGAGAGAGGGAGGAAGACAGAGAGAGACAGAGAGAGAGAAAGAGAGGGAGGAAGACAGAGACAGAGAGAGAGAAAGAGAGGGAGGAAGACAGAGACAGAGAGACAAAGACAGACAAGAGACACACAGACATAAAGAGAGGTTACAGTGTCATTGAATACCTAGCTTCAAAGCTGAGCATGGTTGTGCATACTTGTAATTCCAGCACTTTGAGGCAACCCTAGGGCTACATAGCAAGACTTCCAAAAAAGAAGAAGGAGAAGGAGAGGGAGGGGGAGGGGGAGGGGGAGGGGGAGGGGAAGAAGAGGAGGAAGAGGAAGAGGAGGAAGAAAGAAAGAAAAGGAAAAAAAAAACCACTAACAACAAAAAACAGACAAATATGGTGTCTAATACCTGTAACTCCTGCAACCCTGGCTCTTCAGATGCCAAAGCAGAAGTCCCAGGACAGCCTAGGCTACATTTTGAGTTCTAGGCTACATAAGCATGGTCCTGACTCAAAAAAAAAAAAAAAAAATCTTTGTCAGTACAGGTGGATTATCCAAGGGCCCTAAACTCCTGACTGCTGACTCTCCTACACTACTTCCAGGTGCTGGGACTATAGGCATGTGCTTCACACCCAGCCTGAGACAGCCATAGTCTTACGTTGTTCAGTGCCGTTTCTAAGCACTCTCACTTTTCCTCCATGCTAGGTATTGACTGGCAGGTGCGCCCTCCTCTGTCAGGCCTCCCACCTATTGGCAAAGTGTCTGCTCACAAGGAACCTCACTTCAACACTTCTCTTGCTAACTTGGTCATCCTCCGTGGGAGAGAGGTGCACAGTGCAGACGTGGGTAAGCAGAAATTCAGGGAAACTTGAGGTATATATTTTGGAGCACGTGAGTGTTCTAAAACAACTTCTGGGACTGTCAAGATGGAGCAGTGGGGACGAGCACCTACCTCGAGCCTGACACACCTGAGTGTGGTCCTGGAACTCATGTAAAGTGGGCAAAGGGGCTGACTGCACATAGCTATCCAAACTCTACACACGCTTAAAACAGATTTAAGCATTTTAAACTAGCTATTTAACCACTTTAATCCCAGATTGGGGGAATAGAAGCAGGGAGATCTCTGTGAGTTTGAGGGCAGCCTGGTCTACTTAGTGAGTTTCAGGCTAGCCAGGGTTACTTAGTGAAACCCTGTCTCAAAAAAAGCAAACAAGCCAGTTACGGTGGAGCACGCCTTTAGTCCCAGCACTCAGGAGGCAGAGCCAGATGCATCTCTAAGTTTGAGGCCAGCCTGGTCTACAGAGTGAGTTCTAGGACAGCCAGGACTACACAAAGACACCCTGTCTGGTAAACCCAAAAAACTGAACCAAACCAAACCAAACCAAACCAAACCAAACCAAACCAAAAACCCCATACATCCACCCCCAAAACAAAACAAAGCAAACAAACAAGCTCAAACCTAATTAAGGATTGGAGTATATAACCCACTGAGCCATCTTTCCAGCCAAGCCAGTATTCTCTGGAATTCCATAGTGCATGAGTGTGTGCATGCATGTGTGCCTGTGGAGGCCAGAGACCAGTGTGGGTCCCTCCTCAGGTGTCATCTACTCTGCAATTTTGTTTCTTTGTAGTTTTATACTGAGTTTCTCATGTATGTGAGAGACCATACTTGCTATGTAGCTGTGGCTGGCTTTGAACTCCTGATCTTCCTGCCTCTACTTTCCAAGTACTAGGGTTACAGGTGTGTGCCACCCTCCACATCTCATCTTAATTTGAGACAGTCTCTTACTAACCTGGTACTTGCTGAGGAACTTAGATTTGGCTGGCCAGTGATTCCCAGTCTATACTCCCCAGTGCCCACGTCCAGCTCTTGACTTGGGCTCTGGGGATGAAGTGAGATCCTCATGCAGTCTGGGCCACATCCTCTCCCCTTAGGAAGAGAAGCTTAGTACATCTATCTGTGTGTGTCCGGTGCACATGGACTGTATATGGGGATGAGAAACAATTTGTTGGTTCTTTCTCTCCACTGTGTGGGTCCCAGAGATTGAATCAGGTCTTTAGGCTTAGGGGCCAGCATCCCTTGTCCAAGAGGAAATTATTAGCATAGATGTAAACATCTGGGTTCAAAAAAACAGGCATATAGAGAGAGGATAAAACACACTCAAGAGAGAACCATGCTTAAGTGTCTTTATGCCTCTTTCTCTCTCTCTCTCTCTCTCTCTCTCTCTCTCTCTCTCTCTCTCTCTCTCTCTGTCCCTCCCCCCCTCCCTCCCTCCCTCCCTCCCTCTCTCTCTCTCCCTCCCTCCCTCCCTCCCTCCCCCCCTCTGTGTGTGTGTGTGTGCGTGTGTGTGCGCGTGTGTTTCATGTACATGAATGTATGGGTGCATATGCCTGTACATTTACATGCAGAGACCAGAGGAGGATATGGGTGTCTTCATCTGTTGTTGCTCCCTGCCTTATTCCTTTGCCTGAAAGTCTCTCAGTGAACCTGAAGCTTGCCCTGTCAGCCATGAAGGCTGACTGGAGAGCTCCTGGGATTTGCCCATCCCTGCCTACTAGCTTACACACCAAGCATTTACCCACTGAGCCATCTCTCAGCCTCTGGACGTGTTCAATTTTGGTGGCTTCCAAAGTCAGATTTCAAAGCCTTGCCTAGGGACCTGAATGAACACATACAGTGGGTCTATGCACATTGGGTTACAGCAGACAAGGTGACATGAGGTGGCCTAGAAGGGGGAAATTTGGGGACTTAGGAAGGCAAAGGGGCCTCTCACCACCCAAAAACTGAAGATTCCAGTTTGTCAGCATAGACACAGTATTTTATGTAGAAGTATTTTCAAACAAGAATGTTACGTGAACAGTGACCCAGGCTTAGGGCCTGAATGTGTAGGACCCTGGGCATGACCCCTCTCCTCTTGCAGACATTTTCTGGGATCTCACAAACAAAACTAACACTTTGTTTCCAGTGAAGACACCCTACCCTCCTTCATCCCTGTGGTCTAGAGTTTACCTCCTCATTGCAATCCTGTCTGGGACCCTTCAGGAGCATCCTGTGGCCTCATTAAAATTCCTTAACAGCTCCTTGAAGACAGTAAGTTCAGAAATCACCACAGTACTGTACAGGACAATGGGGCCCCGCTCTTCTATGAACCTACACTCCTGGGTACCGGGGCGAGGCTGGGCAGAGCTTTACTCCGTCCCAGGACCCTTCTCTCAATCTCTGTACTTAAGCTCCATATAAAGACCATCTTTCAATAAAGCCCAGCTCTGTCTCCTGCCGGCTCACTCAGAAATCCTTGTCTTCCACAAAACCAAGGAGTCACCTCAGTCTGAGCCACCGACAAATGCTAGGTCAGGGAGTTAAGACAACGCTGACTACACTCGGGTTTATCGTGCTGTTCTCGATAGTCCCAGATCGCAGGTTCACATCCAAGAAATCGATAAGGAAGCTCAGAGACCCTTAGGTCTCAAGCACGCCTCGCTGCTACTTTAACATTTGTATTTGAATGGCATTTTTTAAGGTTTCTGTGTAATTCTGGCTGTCCTGAAACTCACTCTGTAGACTAAGCTGGCCTGGAACTAAGAGATCCACCCGCCTCTGCCTCCTGAGTGCTAGGATCAAAGATGTGAGCCACCATACCCACTAGAAAATTTTGTTTATTGTATTATGATTCTTTTTAAAATTTTATTATTTTATGTGCATGTTTGCTTCCATGTATTTTGTCCCACATGCATGCCTGGTGACCTCAGATGCCTGAAGAGGATGTCAGATCCCCTGGGACTGGAGTTACAGACAGTTGTGACTGCCTCTGTGGGTACAGGGAATTGAACCTGGGTCCTCTGGAAGAGCAGCCAGTACTCTTAAATTCTGGGTCATCTTTCCAGCCCCTACTCTTTAACTGGAGTCCAGAGTGAGGGACTCCTTGCGCCCTCTCTCTTTCTCTCTTTCTCTCTCTCTCTCTCTCTCTGTCTCTCTCTCTCTCCCTGTCTCTCTCGCTCTCTCGCTCTCTCTCTCTCCCTCTCTCTCTCTCTCTCTCTCTCCCCCTCCTCTCTCCCCCTCTCTCTCTCCTCCCCACTCTTTTTTTTTTTTGAGACAGAGTTTCTCTGTGTACCCCTGGCTGTCCTGGAACTCACTCTGTAGACCAGGCTAGCCTCGAACTCTCGAACTCAGAGATCCGCCTGCCTCTGTCTCCCAAGTGCTGGGATTAAAGGCGTGCGCCACCACCACCCAGCTCCCTCTTTATTTTTTAAGACTGATTTATTTTATATGCATTAAGTACACTGTTGCTGTCTTCAGACACACCAGAAGAGGGCATCAGATCCCATTACAGATAGTTGTGAGATAGTTGTCAGATAGTTGTGTGGTTGCTGGGAATTGAACTCAGGATCTCTGGAAGAGCAGTCTGTTGTGTAATTATTTAAAATCCGCCTCTGGTCAAGCTGACTATCTAAGCTGCAGCAGCTCTGCCTAGCTTAGCTGTCACGTTGCATGGCCAGAGGCCACGTGCACGCAGCAGCTAGAACCGGCCCGCCAGAAACACCAGCCCTGCCACCCATGAGACTGAACAGATGACTGAACAGGGTTAGGATTCCCCGGGCCCAGGCTGTCCCGTCTGTCTCCTCCTCACCTGGATCCCAAGTCCTCTCTTTGTCCAAGCTCTTTTTCTCCAATCTTCCATGCTGTCTCCTCAAGGCTGGGCATTGCCCAGACCATCCCACAATCCACATGGGCTCAGTAGAAAGATGAGACTCTAATGCTTAAAGATTAATCAAAGGCTTGTATATTTGGTAATGATCAGTAACAAGATACCCATACAATCAGAAGTGTAACCCAATACCCAACCTAGATATACCAACTACCTTTGACTGCTACAGACACGTGAACATCCGCCTCCATCTCCATCTCCATCTCCTCTCTCTCTCTCTCTCTCTCTCTCTCTCTCTCTCTCTCTCTCTCTCTCTCTCTCTCCTAGCTCCTCTCCTAGCTCCTCCTCTTCCTTTTCCTCTTCCTTTCCTAACTCCTCCCATCTTAGCTCCTCCCACAGCAGTCAGTGCTCTTTTAACTGCTCAGCCCTCTCTCCAGCCTGGCCTTCTCTTTCTTTAATTCCCACTTTCTATCCTTTCTCAGAATTACTAACTGTTTTCCCTTTTTGTTTTTAAATGTGTGTGTGTGTGTGTGTGTGCATGCATCCACACTTATCATGATATATTGCCACACTGCATGTACCACAGAACACATGTGGAGATCAGAGGACAACTTGCAGAAGAGTCGGTTCTCTCCTTTCTTTTTTCTTTTTTTTTTTTTCCTTCGAGACAGGGTTTCTCTGTGTACCCCTGGCTGTCCTGGAACTCACTCTGTAGACCAGGCTGGCCTCGCAGTTCTCTCCTTTCATCATGTGGGTCCCAGAAATTGAACTCGTCATCAGGCTTGGCAGCAAGCATGAGTACTCCCTAAGCCATCTTGCCACCCCTTGTTATAAGGTTTTCACATGTGTACAGAAGGGACTTTGCTCATATGTACGGTGTTTTTACTCTAGAGGGATTTAAAGACCCAGCTCTCTACACTTCCTGGTTGGAGCCTGTTGATGCTTTCAGCGTGTGGAAAACCCAGCGAGCCTTTGACAAGTATGAGAAGTCTGCAGCCCTAGTCAGCAATAGCCAGCTCTTAGTAAAGCCACTGAATATGATTGTGGGCAAGGCATGGAATATGTTCTCATCCAAGTAAGTAAAACATAAGTCTCCAGACTTCCTCACCTTAGCCAGATAATGCCCAGGGAGAGCATGAGTGGGTTGTAGAGCAAGCCTGGCTGCCCCCATGCAGTGGTGAAGCCTTGGACACGTGACTTAAAGGCGCTGCTCCTCATTTGTGCAGCTGGATCCAGTGAGGTAATCATGCAAACCACCTAGTATACCGCTTGGCTATGCTCAGCAAGTGTTCTGTACTATTATTTTTATTTTCTTTCTTTCTGTTTTATTTTATGTGGATGGGTATTTTGCTTGCATGCATGTCTAGGCATTACCAGAGCTCTTGGAGGCTAAAAGGGGGTGTTAGACTTTCTGGGACTAGAGTTACAGATGGTTTGGAGTCTCTATGTAGATGCTGGGAATACAACCTGGTCCTCTGAACAGTTTCTAGGCAAAATTCAAAATTTCATCGTAAGATGGTTTTCAAAAGAAGATCTTTGGGATCAGGGCTGTTGCTTGGAAGTAGAGCACTTGCCCAGCATGTGTGGCCTGTGTTCTGTCCCTAGCACTGGGATGAGGCAGGAAAAAGGTCCTGGGGCATGGAAGAGACTCTAATCCTCCTCAGTAATAGCTGAAGAGCTCAGCTCCACTGGGTACAACACACTGGATTGTGTGTTGTCAAAATAAAAATTGCCAGATGACTGAACAGGGTTAGGATTCCCCGGGGCCCAGGCTGTCCCGTCTGTCTCCTCCTCACCTGGATCCCAAGTCCTCTCTTGGTCCAAGCTCTTTTTCTCCCACTATGACGTCAGTTTATTTTGTGTCTGCCCTTGTTGTTCTTCTGGGAGCTGGGGGTGGGGGATCTGAGAAAACCACTCAGGCAGAACTCTGATTTGTTTCTAGTTTCAAACCTCAAGCGAAACTTCTGAGCTCCTTTTTAGAGTCAGTCTGGAGGTAGTCACCTCCTGTGTACTGAGCCTGCACACCAGGACTACAGAGTCCAACATGCTGCCTTTCCTGCGCCCTCTGGGACACTAAAAGCAGAGGCAGCGTGGTGACAGCTAAAGTTTGCTAATGTTGTTTATTGATTCAGAGTAAACAAGTCACCCACATTTGACAAGGACCCTATGAGGCTGTGTGAGTTTTGAGTGCTCACAGTCTGTTTATTGCTTAAGTTTCTCATTTGCCTGGAATAGTTGATTGACAATTTCTGCCTTCTCCCCAGAGCCTACATCCATCAGTACACGAAATTTGGAATGGAGGAAGAAGACTTTTTGGACAGCTTTACATTGTTGGAACAAGTTGTTGCCAGCTATGGTAGTCTTTGACCCTAAGCCCAGAGGAAAAGCTCTTTACAGGACTTTTGGACTAAAATATTTTCAAAATTGAGCCGTGCTCAGTGGTGCTTGCCTGTGATCCCAGCACCCTGGAGTTAGAAGCCGGAGGATCAGGAGCTCAAGGTCATCCTTGGCTACACTGAAAATTCCAGGCCAACCTGGACTACATGAGACCCTGTCTCAGACTAGATAAATGAATACAAATACTTGCTTTCAAGTTCAGTCTCTTAAGTAATAAAGTAGAATGCTGATTCTAGTTTATGTACTCTGTCCACAGACATGAAGAAAATACTTCCAGTGGAGTGGAGCATATTTTCAGTGAAAACATGTATTTGGTATTTCATTTATAAGAAAAAAAGCAATGCTTATATAAAGAACACTGTTTTGTTGAGATAGGGTCTCAAACTGTTGGGCTCTAGATCCCTGACTCGGCCTCCAGGGCAGACTCTGAACCTTGGAGTCTAGTTTAAAGGAACTCGGCTGTAAGACTCCCAGGAGAGGGAATGTTCTGTTGCTCTCCATGTTTCTAAATCTTCAGTGTTTTTGTTTTTTGTTTTTTTTTCGAAACAGGGTTTCTCTGTGTAGCCCTGGCTGTCCTGGAACTCACTCTGTAGACCAGGCTAGCCTCGAACTCAGTCTTTACAATGAAGAAGATTTACTAAACATGATCTGAACTTCCACAGTTCAAATGAAAGCAACATAGACTTTTGAGGGTGCATGTGGACTTTAAAAAAAGATTTTATGGCCGGGCGGTAGTGGCGTGCGCCTTTAATCCCAGCACTTGGGAGCCAGAGGCAGGCGGATTTCTGAGTTCGAGGCCAGCCTGGTCTACAGAGTGAGTTCCAGGACAGCCAGGGCTACACAGAGAAACCCTGTCTCAAAAAAACAAAAAAGAAAAATTTATTTGTGTGTATATGTATGTGTGTGTGTGTGTGTGCGCGCGCGCACATGAACATGTATGAAGCTACCCATGGAGGCCAGAGGGAACATTAGATGCTTTGGAGCTGGAGATGCAGGTGAGTTCTGACCCTCTACAGGTACAGGAAACATGCTGAGCCATCTCTCCAGCTCCAGTGTGGTTGGTTGGTTTGTTTCCGTTTTTTAGACAGGGTCTCTTTAGCTCAGGATGGCTTGGAACTTGCTATAATACTCCAGCATCAGCTTCAGCTTCCAACGTGTTCAGCACTGTACTTGTTAAGCACTGAAGTGAACGACTATACTTGGGTCTGAGAATTACAACTCTGTAAATATATTTGCCTTTGAAAATGATTGCTCTGAACCACAAGGGGGAGATGTTGTCAAAGGCTACGCTGTGCCCATCGGTTCTGAATACAGTAAGATGCTCTATATGGTCATTTCAAGAAGAACACTGGGCCACGTGCAGCTGTGCGCTGTATTCAGCACTCAGGTGGATGGGACAGGAGGATCTGTTCAGGCTGGAGTAGAAGGTGTGGTAAATGGCAGTAATCCCAGTTCTCGAGAGAGGGAGGTGAGAGGATCAGGCAGCCTTGAGCACATACCAAGCTCCAGGTCAGATGGGGTATACACACAGCAAGACCTTGTCTCAAACACCAAGGCCAGGTGTTGGAGACATGGCTCAGCAGGTAAAGGCACTTGCTGCCAAGCCTGACAACTGAGACCCATCCCTGGACCTACATGATGGGAGAAGAGCAGCTACTCCTCTGAACACACTTGTGCCATGGCGTGTGCGTGCCTCCACACAGAGTAATAAAATATTTGAGACAGGGTCTCACTGTGCAGTCCTGGCTGGCCTCGAACTCGTCGAACTCGTTTTGCAGACCAGATTGACCTCAGACTCAGAGATCCAACTGCCTCTGCCTCCTGAGTGCCGAGTGTTGGGATTAAAGGCTTGGCTAACATGCCCAGCTTTTTTTTTTTTTTTTAGTAAACAGGTAAATGTGATCATTGTGTGCCTTTTGAGGGAGAGATTGATTGATTGATTGATTGATTGACTGAGACAGGGTTTCTCTGTGAAGCCCTGACTGTCCCGGAACTCACTTTGTAGACCAGGCTGCCCTTGAACACACAAAGATCCACCGGCCTCTGCCTCCTGTGTGCTGAGATCCAAGGTGCGTGTCACCAGAACTGTTTTGTTAGGGTTTTTTTGAGACAGGGTTTCTCTTTGTAGCCTTAGCTGTCCTAGAACTTGGTCTGTAGACTAGGCTAGCCTCTAACTCAGAACTCAAGAGATTTGCCTGTCTCTGCCTCTTGAGTGCTGGGATTAAAGGAGTGCATCACGACTGCCCAGCAAGACTACTAGGTTTTGAGCTGCTATAGAAGGAAGTTTATATGCTTTGTGGCAAATCGGAATTATATTTACTTACGTGTTTGTGTGAGTGTGTGTATATGTGTGGGCATGCTTGTGCTGCAGTGTGGATTAGGAGGTCAGAGGACTGCTTGGAGGAGTTGGTTCTGTGTTCAGAGGCTCACGGTCAGTTCATAAAGCTTGGTGGAGGGTACCTTTTTACCAGGTTAGCCATCTTGTTAGCCCTTCAGTAAGGATCTCACAGCTGGATGTGGCATGCACCTTTAATCCCACAGGCAGAGGCAGAGGCAGAGAGGCAGAGGCAGAGAGGCAGAGGCAGAGAGGCAGAGAGGCAGAGAGGCAGAGAGGCAGAGGCAGGCAGATCGCTGTGAGTTCCAGGACAGTCTGGTCTACAGAGTGAGTTCTAGGACACCCAGGGAAGCAGAGAAACTCTGTCTCTAAAACCAAAACAAAGCAAAAAGGTGGAATGAGCAAAGGAAGACACAGGAGCCACAGCTGCATAAAATGTGGCTGTAAGTTCGAGCGAGGGAAACAGTGTATCAACAAATATAAACTAAGGGCAAAATAGAAGCCTTGGCTATTTCTGCCCAGGCTACCAATCCTGACTTATTGTTGCATGGAAAAGGACAGCTCCCAGCTTCACTGCTTTCTCTCCATATGGAAACGATTACCGGTTTGCTGTTTTTCTTATCAACTGTTGCCATGGTTTAAAATACTGGACTATATCTTATTTCGAAAGAATGTAGACAGTGGTCTGTTCAGCTGGGAGAAGGCACACCCCACTGGCTTCATTCTGTTAAATATACTTGAGAAATAATTAGATCATAATTCTCACAAGACAAAACTGTTCAGCTCTGGACACATCCAAGGCCTTAACTTCCCAGATGAAACCAATGCTAAATGCAGACCTGTGGCTGCATGACCTCACGGGGGGGGGGGGGGGGGGAGGGAGAAGGGGGGAGGTGTGTGTGTGGGGGGTGAGCTGACTCAGGAATCTTGCTAGAAGGAATGCAGACCAGAGAAGTCGGGAGTTGAAATCACTTGACATTTGAGACAGGAATTCATGAGGTACAAATGGGGTGAAGGTATTTTTATTTGAAAGCCATGTAATCAACAGCAGGTGAATACTTGAAACTCCAACAAGCACTCAGGCCTCATCCTTGTGTGTGACCTTCCCCGCCCCCCCCCCCGACTCTTTTAGTTGACATATGTGGATACCAAAATATCTGAAGCTTGTTATAAATATTTACATGGAAAATAGTGTTTTAAGAATTTTTATAATGCTTTTCTTTATTAGAGTTGAGTTTTAACACAAATTAACACTGCAGGCCCGATGTTCAGGCATGTGCTTATACCTCCAGCTGTAGGGGAGGCTAAAGCAGGGGGATTAGTTGAGCCCTGGACTGAAGTCAACTCTGGCAATGTATTGAGATGCCCTGCCCTCGTCAAAGCAAACCAACCCAACAGGATCCATAGAAAGCTCAAGTCAAAGCTTCGGAATTTAGGATGAGAAATGCACCAACCGGGCAGAAAGCAGAGGCCTAAACTCGCGGGTAGACACAGAAAATATCTGAAATGTAATTTTGAAGCCAAGCATGGCGGCATACACCTGTAACCTCAAGCCTTCAGGAGGCTCAGGCAGGTGCGCCAGCCTGGACTGCATAAAACGCTCATTAACGCCGGGTGAAGATGCACCCTACGGGCAGGGGGTGTGGTATGAGCAGGCAGATTGCTCCGCAGGCTTTTTCACCTCCTTTTTCTATTTGCCCGCTTCCCAAGAGCCTTTTTCTTTTAATCACGGAAGCCATCGCTTCCCACCCTGCTCTCTGCCTCCTTTCCAGCTTTGGACTCCCCATCCCCACAGCAGTGGCGGTTCCATCATTTATAAAGCCTTTCTTTCATTCCTCCCGACCCCGGTCACTTAGACTCCCTGCTCTCAGCCAGTTCATTCACTCATTGAGCTACTTATTCTATGTTCCGCAGGCATCCAGCGAGGAGTGAAGGATGCTGGATCAGTCCTCTAGGGGATGGGATGCTTATATGCAGGATTTCCTTGGTTGTATGAAGCTCTGATTCTGGCTTCCTAATTACTGCTTTTTGTTTACACACACACACACACACACACACACACACACACACACACACACACACACACACACTCGCCCCCCCTTTTAAATGGGAAAGAATGTAGTTCCAGAAAGAACAACAGTGGGGATTGCTGGGCTGGCCTTTGAATGTTGCAATGTCTGCTCTGGCTCAGGACCGCTTTGCAGCATGCATACCAGCGATTCCTCTTCTGGCCACCATGTTTATCACTTGCTTGAACTCTCATCCAACGTTTTGTTTTAAAACATGCTCCATATGTCTCTCTCCCACTGTTCCTCCCCATGAGCCCACGTTTGGCAATCCACCCTCTCTTCTTCTGCCACCTTCTTACCAAATATGGTTTTATCAGCCGACTTGTCATTTTTTAAGACTAACTTAAAAGACATTGCCTCATCCCCCATCAATCAAAAAATAATTTTGGGGGGCGTTTAGGAATGTGAATAAAAAAAAGCAGTTTAAATTTTTATTTAATAATTTCCTGGTCCTAAAACCCTGAAATGTCTTGGAAGATGTGAGTTTAGCTTTAGTAACAGAGAACTCCCTTCCACAAGCAGGAATGCTTACACAAGGAGCTAAGATAAACTATATAGATGTTTCCAGTTTCTGGGAAATTGTCAGTTCAACATGGAAGAAAATAGGGAATTCAAGCTATGGAAACATACACACACAGAGAGAGAAAGAGACAGAGACAGAGACAGAGACAGAGACAGAGAGAGAGAGAGAGAGAGAGAGAGAGAGAGAGAGTTGATGACCCCCTCCACCACCACCCAAACCACCCCTATCCCCCCCCAACATAGGGCTTACAGCATTTCAAAAGTAATTTGTTTGTTCTTTTGTTTGTTTTTCAGACAGGGCCTTACTAG